GACGACGACGACGGCGAGGGCGACGGGGACGGGGACGGCGACGGCGACGGCGGCGGCGGCGACGGCTGCGGCGACGGCGACGGCGACGGCGACGCAGCACCTTCGGCTCAGGCTTCAGGCTTCAGGCTGCAGCCTTCAGGCTTCCTCCAGGCTTCCGGCTTCAGGCTTCAGGCTTCAGCCTGCAGCCGTCAGATGCAGATGGTGCAGGGCTTCGTCAGCGCCCTCGCCGTCGCCGCGGTCGCCGCGGTCGCCGCGGCCCCGCTGGTCCACCTCCTCCTCCTCCTCCTCCTCGTTCTCTTCCATCTCCGTAGCTCAGGTCAGCGAGCAGCTGGTGGTCAGCGTGCTCGGTCTGGCAGTCCTCTTCGTCCTCGGCGCCATCTTGTGGAAGATCAGCGTGGTTTCAGAGAACCTCGACGGCATGTACTACATCGTCGATGGGGTATCTCAGCGCTGCGCGTTCATCGAGCGGCGCCTCATGGGCTTGGAATTCAGCCCATTCGAATGCTGCCGTCAGGTCATCTCGGCAATTGTCGAGTGGGACTTGAATCAGGATGCGGCGTACGGCAGTCGTCAAGCCTTTCAGCAACTCAGCCGCTACTCGCGCAACCTCTACCAGCGCACTCACACCGTGCCTTCAGCGGCGCTCCTCAGCATCATCGTCAACAAAGCAATGACTGAGTCCGGTGAGGCCTCAGACGGCGTGAAGATCACGACGTTGAAGGCGGACTTCCGCAATCAGTGGGGTCAGCATCTTCACGGTCAGCAGTACGACGAGACAGCGAGCAAGGAGAACCGCATGGGTCAGTTGACGCCTCAGGAGATCGTGGACCTGTACGGCTTGTATTAGGCCGTTCCTCAGGACTGAGGGCTGGGAGCCAGGACTGCGGAGTAGGGAGCCCTCTCCTCCCCCCCCCTCTCCTCCTCCGTGCAATTCCTTGTCCTTTCCTATTCTGAGCCTTTCTTTAGTTTTCCTCAGCTCTTTTTCAGCTTTTCCTTGGCTTTTCTCAGCTTTTCCTTAGCTTTTCTCAGCGTTTCCTTAGCTTTTCCTTAGCTTCCCCTTAGCTTTTCTCAGCTTTTCCTAAGCTTTTCTCAGCTTTTCCTGAGCTTTTCTTTAGCTTTTCTTAGCTTTTTCTTTACCTTTTCTAAACTTTCCTGAGCTGTTCTCAGCTTTTCCTTAGCTTTTCTCAGCTTGTCCTTAGCTTTTCCTTAGCTTTCCCTTTTCTCAGCTTTTCCTTAGCTTTTCTTAGTTTTTCCTTAGCTTTTCTTAGCTTTTCCTTAGCTTTTCTCAGCTTTTCCTTAGCTTTTCTCAGCTTTTCCTCAGCTTTTCTCAGCTTTTCCTTAGCTGTCCTCAGCTTTTCCTTAGCTTTATTCAGCTCTTCCCTACCTTTTTCTAAGCTTTTCCTTAGCTTTTCCTTAGCTTTTCTTAGCTTTTCTTAGCTTTTCCTTAGCTTTTCTCAGCTTTTCCTTAGCTTTTCTCAGCTTTTCCTCAGCTTTTCTCAGCTTTTCCTTAGCTGTCCTCAGCTTTTCCTTACCTTTACTCAGCTCTTCCCTACCTTTTCCTTAGCTTTTCCTTAGCTTTTCCTTAGCTTTTCCTAAGCTTTTCTTAGCTTTTCCTTAGCTTTTCTCAGCTTTTCCTTAGCTTTTTCTCAGCTTTTCCTTAGCTTTGTTCAGCTCTTCCCTACTTTTTCTCACTTTTTCCTTACCTTTTCCTTAGCCTTTCCTAAGCTTTTCCTTAGCTTTTCCTGAGCTTTTCTCAGCTTTTCCTTAGCTTTTCTCAGCTTTTCCTCAGCTTTTCCTTGGGGAAGGGGACGGCAGGGAGGGGAGGGCGAGCTTAGCCTGTCAGGCAGATGGTGTTAGCCTGTTAGCCTGTCTCCCCGCCTTCAGTTCCAGCGCGGCTCCAATTTTTTCAGGGGGCTTTCAGTGCTCGCGTTTTGAACGAGACCGCTCCCTTCAGCGCCAGGGCTTTCAGCGCCGGGGCGTCACGTCGACGCCAGGGCTGTCAGCGCTCGCTGACGCTTTAAGAGATCAGGCGCCGTGCGCAGGCGTCGCTCAGAAACACATCGCCTTGCTCTCTTTCGGTGCATCGCATTCAGCGGTGCCACCGCGCTCGGGCGGGCGACCTGGGGGAGGGGCTGGGGCGCAATTTCTGCGTGGACGCAACGGGGGGGGGTGGGGCTAATTATTGTTTCGCAAGGAGCGAAAGGCCCCGACGCGCACCTAGGACATCTCAGCAAATTCTCAGGCTTTGCGTGATCCCCACCAGCCCATCCAGAATACATCCAAACGAGGAGAGACATCAGCTGTTCTCAGCGCTCGCCTTCTCAGCCATGTCAGCGACCCAGGCACCGATTGTTCGCCTTCTCAGCTATGTCAGCTGTTCTCAGAGCTCGCCTTCTCAACTGCGTCAGCTGTTCTCAGAGCTCGCCTTCTCAGCTATGTCAGCTATGATTGAGTTGCGTCGCATTCAGTGGCGCTGCCGCGCGATTCCGCAACCGCGCTC